CGCGTTCGCAGGCCTTTTGAGGCTTCAGACTCTCGGGCCCCGGTTGTATATGGATTGATGTGTAAGGTGTAGAATAGGGAGGCCCCCGAACCATGGATGTTAGCTCGATTCAGTCGTTCAGGGTCTGATAGTATTACATGGACCCTCCTGGGGTGTTTCCTGCTCAACAGGTTTCCAGAAACCACCTGTTAGGCTTCTAAAAAACACAGGAGGTAGGAACGCTTCAGTCAGAAGGTCTCAGTCTTTCAGGGTTCCATTCTTCCAACAATTGGATAATAGGTGGATCAATGGAAGTGGTGCGATGCTGGTCCAGGTCCAACTTACCCAAGCCCTCCGACCCCGCGAGTCGACTGCTGACGCCCCGGCGCCTGCCGGTCTTGGTGGAACTTCAGCTGCTTCAGTGGCACACCTCAACCGACCAAGTCGCGCGGCCGCGCCACACGCGCGGGAGGCCACGCGCGTGGCGCGCGTGCGCTGCACATGGTGCAACTATATCCTCTCCAAGACCATCCATTATGGACGTATATGATACCTACATTGACCACCCCAATGAAGATCAATAGGCCAGTCAGTCCCATGGATGCTCTGTCTCGGTGGATGTTCCTGTCAGTCTCCTGGAGATCTCTTTCCGGTCCCCAAATCACCGACCGAACCGGGCGCCTCTGGACTGGGCGCTATGCCAGGGTTAACGATTAATGGATACCGGATACCCCTTAAATCCCCTTAACCTCTAAGGAGCTCTAATTGGACACCGGCCCGGGGGTCCTGGTAGCAGAGCTTCTGCCTTTCAGAAACACCGGGAAGGTCCGTGGTTTTTTTTGGGTTGACTTTCGCGCCTGGGTGAAGCAACCGGTTATGGACTGGGTCAGGTTTGCTTGTCGCGTGCCTGGACAAGCTAAGACTGGGTCAGGTTGACTCCACCTCACACGCTGAGGCTTCGAGGGGTCAGGTCTGAATTCGATCTGACTGGGACCCAGACGTCAAACCTGCCCCCCTCGGCCGCTCGACCGCTCCACCCGTCGTGAACAAGGGCCCGGAAGACGAGAAAAGCCGAAGACTGGGACCTTTGGACCTTTGGGCCTTTGAGGCTTTGGTCTGGACTGCCGATCAGTTGGGGTGCCAGGGGGGTCTGTCTGGGGCGGCATATCTGGCAGTCCCATGGAGTGTATGGGAAAGGATTCTTTCCGCATGATAATCCAGGTGAGGCAAGTGTGGACACCGCAAGAGGCGAAGGATGCCGAGGGTGTTTCGTCGTATCGGAGGCATCCTAGATCGGGTGTCAGGTACATGGATGGTGCAACTCTGGATTTGACCGGTCAACTCTTCCAGTTCCCATGGACGGTTCCATCCCCAAACCGCGACCCGGACTGGCATATCTGATCCGTTGGGATGGTGGGCAGCTGCAGCTAGGGGTCCATGTTGGGACAGGCATGGAGTGTCTGGGATTCAGTTTCTTGACCACCAAAACGACCTGCGCCAGGCACTTCGGTCGCTCCCGTTCGCAGGTGCCAACGGTCATTGGAGTCATCTGTGATTCCGTGGGAGACCTGGTATCTCTTTCATTCATCCCAGATCCACTGCCACATTCTCAGGTTCGGCGCGACTCAACCCTCCTGGCACCTACATAAAAGTGTCCCTAATAACCAATCACCTCCAAAAGGAGGGTGTCAGTGGATCCAGAGGGCATGATGTGTACCTGGAACCCCAAACAACCAGAAACCATTGGTTTTTTTCCAATATGGCAATTGAATCCTTTACATCGGACATGGCTGCTTAGGAAAATATCAATTTCTTTGTGGTTCTTTGGGGTTCCAGGTACTCCATAGACACTCGGTCGCGACCCTGGCGCCACAGGGCGTCGTCAGACGGTCAAGCCGTCGTCAATCAAGTAGACTAGCTTGAGACTCTCAAAAGACGTGTCGAAATGACCGTCTGCAGGCCTTTCATGAATCTTCATTCGACATCACACCCATCCCTGAAAACCCACATCGCAAAAGGAGCGCCCCCCAAAAAAGGAAGCCTTGCGCCATCTTCGCTGGCTGGTCGGAGGTCGAATGTTTGGACCACTCTCGACCACACCTGGCAGCTGTCTAAACACAAATTGATACTAAGGATGTGCAATCACGTAAAAAACGACCAAGACACTCAGTGCGTCCTGTTTCTTGAGCCAAAGCATCGAGTCGCACCTTTGGTTTGTGACATCCTTAAAAAACATGGAGAGGTGCTTGCTTATCCACACTCCCCCTGCCTGCGTTGCAGGCATTGCCAGCTTCCAGGTAGCTAGGTTTTTTCGTCTAGCTCCTTTCAGCAAAAAGGCTTCTATGGTGCCCGGTCAAAAAGCTCAAAGCTTCCGTCAGAGTCATCCGGATCTTCATGACCACCGGCTGCTGGCGCCCTCATAGGCGATGAAACCATTCCCATCCACGCCGGCAGTGCGTCCGCTTCTGGCACCAGCAGCCCCTCTGATTTCAAGGAGACCTCCCAGGCCTCTGCATTGAGATCTCTTGGATCACTTCCTGTTGGCTTCTGGGGCAGCTGGCTTTCTAGCTCCCCCCCGACGTTCAAAGCTCTGCAAACGGGCTGTGTAGCCCAAGCTCAAAGGCCTCCCAGCTGCGTCCTGCCCTCGCCTCAAAGCCTCCGATGACCTTGTAGCCGAAGAGCTCGATGTTATAGCGTCGTTTGTTCCCCCTTTCACATATAGCGCACCTCCCGAATCAACTCGGTTTCTGGAGGTGCGGATTCCGGAGTTGATGCCGTCTGACCCGTCGAGGAGGTCTGCGCCGTCGAAGATGACCTTGATGATCCACTCACCATGGCCTTCGGCATCGGAGGTGGCCCACTCGACTGGCTAGTCAAAGTCGAAGATGATGGATCCGTGGTTCGAGGATTGGACGAAGAGCTCTGCGAGGTCAGGGTCTCCTGTGTGGCACCAGTTCCTGCAGGTTGTATATCTCGAAAAAACGTGTAGCCCACCCACACTTCATCCTGCAGAACCGGAGGTATCGCACCCGTCATCCAATCCTCTTGGTATAGGTGTCGTTCACCATGGATCCAAAACAAGATGGTTCGCTGGGATTCCACCTGCAAGCCATCAAATGGAGTCATCCGATGAATCGGAAGGGCCTTTTCCTCGGCTTCACGTGGCGCCTCACCCACCAGCCATCCTGCAGCCTTCCCCCACCGATCACGCCCTTGAGGAGGCCGAGTCCGAGAAAAGGAGTACCAATCCCATGGTGGCCCTTGTTGCGGCAGAACTGGTCGAAATGCCGCCAGTTTCAGCTCAGATCCATGGCTTTCCACAGGCGCCCGAACCGCCCCGGGAGCCCTGTGGGCTAAGTGTTCTTGCCTGGCTTGCAGGCAATTGGAAAATGCCATCCGGTTCATCTCCCCTGGATGGATCTTGACGGCCAGTGGCTCTTTTTTCCTTCTTTTCGAACATCCTAGAGAGTTTGACCACACCAGCGGCCAAACCCAACAAGCGAGCAATCCTACCGAGCATTTCTACCGGCTTCCAAGCAGCAAGACCTACCACTACACCTACCAATGCAGCCACTTTGGACTTGCGCTCCCCCGGACCCTCACAGCTCTCAGCCTCATCCAGCGCGGCACGTTCAGCAGCTTTCAAACCCATGAACTCATAGAAGGCTTGCCACGCCGCTGGTTGTGTGATCACCTTGGTGAGCAGGTCCGAGGCCAGCTTCGAGCCCGGAAGATGACGGACCTTCCACGTGCCCATGTTCACTCGCTCCCGAACTACAAAGCATCTCAGCCTCACGTGGCGCGTGCGCCATGCCCCGTCGGGGGCTTGAAGAATCTTCAAACCAGTTTGGCTGTCGCCGTAGAGCACCCCAGTCTCATCGCGAAGTGCCCCCTGCTCCAAAATGTTGATCGGCACACTGGCGGATTCGCCCATCACCACCCCGTCCAGATAGCAGATCTCCGACTCCGAGCTCGAAAGGGTCGCTTAAGGGCTGCTGCTTTGATTCCCACTGAATCGGTGCACCCCCATACAGCAATCACCCCCTGTTGGCCTCGGCAGCCAAAAGGAGCAAATGAGGAGTCACAGAAGACCTCCAGCCAGGTCAGACCTGTGGAAAGCGAGATCCGAGCTCTCTTCCAAACCTTGGGGACATTGGCCATACCTCAACACCATATTGGAGGTTGCAGTGATGTAGCCCAAAACATGCCGCCCATATTCACAGACTCGAGCCGGATACTTACTGACTCCTCTCCCCATCCAAGCCACTGCACCAGGTCCGGCCTGGTTCTCCTGTTCCCTGAACAGCTTGTTCGCAATGTTGAGCTTCATCTTGTTCTCGATGTTGATGCGGAAGGCCATCAGGCGGTCTAGCAGCCTTTTCTTACTGCCACTGTATGGTAGCCCTCTTTCCTTGCATGCTACCTGCAGCTCCTTAACTGGCATCTTATCTGTATAGATGACCTCATCAAGCTCAACTTCATTCGGTCGATCGGCTACCACCATTTTCTCAATGTCTTGGGCGTCCATCTTGATCTCCAGATCCTCTTCTTCTTCTCTATCATCCTCTGACCAGTCCATTCGCCCTTGGGGCGCCCTGGTTCTTTCTTCTGGGAATGGATTCACTGGTACCTCTGAGTCCGCTTCCCAGTAATCCTCCATTGCTGAGGCCTCAAAGAATGTCAGCGTCCTCTGTGGTCCGCTCGTCCCAATTCTTCTGAATGCCTTCAAGGTCATCCTGGCTTTCCAAGCTTCTTTAATTTGTCCTCGAGGATCCAGCAGACTTGTCGCCACTGGGTCACTATAGGCTACCACCCCATTGGGAAGGCGATGCCATCCGGGTTCCATCTCCATCTCCTTCATGTATCGGCTGAGAGTCCCGAGGGCCATCACCCTCATCTCTTGATCCTCCTCTGTCTTCTTCTCCTCAGTCTCCACCACGGAGATCCTGGCTGTGAACTGGAGCGAGTTTCTCTCCTTGTGGATGGGCACTGAAATATCCCTTCTCCCATGCCTCAAGTTGACGTTTCCTGATTCTCCAGAAATGCTCCATCCCTTCTTGAGTCACTTGCCGGCGCAGAGGATCGGGTGTTGAACGTTTCCCAGCACAAAGTCCTCCACCAGCTCAATCTCCTTTCCACTCCTGTCGGTCGTTCTGATCTTTGCTCTTGTCACTCCGTCGTGGGCTATGTGGGTGCCTTGAGCATCCACCATCCTCAGACTTTGTGATCCCGGTGACCAGGTTCCGACATTTCCATATGCCCGGGGTAGCACAGAGATATCTGCGTCGCTGTCCAAGGTCACCAAGCATCCTGTGTCTTGCTCTTGTTCTCCAGTCCTCACCATCTGCACTTGTCTCTCCTCCATGTCGTCCTGCAAGTCCATGGCCACAACAGTGATGCCGTGGGGAACTAGCACCACTGGTTCTATGCAGTCCACAAACTCTTCATCCTCCTCAAGGATCTCGCCAAAGAGCTCTTCCATCTCAGCTTCAATGGCTCCTACCCTCCATGGGTAATCCTTCGTCTCGCGGAGTGGTCAAGTCGAAGATCTCCAGGCATGAACTTTCAGGTGGCATCGACAATCGAACCATCTGAACTGTTGTCTTCACTGCGGTCTGTCCTGATTGTCCAGCTGTGTTCTGAGCTGACGATGATGAAGCACTTGCCCCGCCGGTGTTGCTAGCAGGCCACTGCTCCTCAACCTGATTCACTCTTTTCCAGCACTCCTTCGCATAGTGCCCAAACTTTCCGCAGTTGTGGCATGTGCCGGATTTTCCAGTCTCGCCACCTTTTTCTCCTTTACCTTTCTTTCCTGGCCCCTTTTCCCAGAGCCTTTTACCCTTCTGTGAGCCTTTCCGTCTGTCTTCATCTTTCCCTTTTCTTTGCCCTTCGACTTGCCTTTCTGATCCTTCGACTTCGTCTTTCCTCCTTTCTTTCCTTTCTCTCTTCCAATGTAATCGACTTCCATAGGAGTCGACTCATCCACACCAGCTTTCGTCGGCAATGCCAGTGAATTGCTGCTGTCCCATCGTGTTGCAATAGCCTCCAACTCCAGGGCCTGTAGTACTGCACCTCCTGACAAAGTCGGTCTCCGGCCCCGCTTGCAATGCAAGCTAGTAGAAGCAACTCAACCAAGCCCACACCAACGCGCTTGGGCTCTCTGCTCCTGCGGATGCAGGTCGTGGTGGCGAGGTGACGTGGGTGGGGAGCACTGATTCTTACGACCAGTGCTCCGCTACCGTGCGAAGCAAAAGTCCCTGAGCATCGCTTTTTGATTAGGATCAATCTGGTGGTATATGCTTTTGATTGATTTTCCCAAAATTTGGGAAAATCAATCGAAAAAAAAGTAGTTGTTTGAAGGGATTTTTTTGAGCTTTTTATTGATTTGGTTTTTGAGCTTTCTATTGATTTTCATTTTGAGGTTTCTATTGATTTTTTTATTGATTTTTCTGCAGCTGTTTGAAGCAATTTTGCTCCAGGTTTTCTTAGAGTTATATATCAAAGCCAAAACACAGAAGGCTTTGGGAAAGGCCATTGGGGCTTTGGGAAAGGCCATTTGTCGACATGGCCAATAAGCTCCCTTTAGTCGAAGGAAGAGGAGGGGCTAGGCATTTTGCCAAGCCCTATGTGGATAGTGGCCTGGTGCTGAAGGTGTTGACAGAACACCAAGCCACTTTAAGTCACATGGGCTCCTATGAGCTCATTTCTAGAGCCAATGCACCAGATCTAAAGGGACTGGTGCAGACCATGCCCTTATGGGCAGGGCTCTTGAGGCTGGAGAGTTCAGGGGAGATACACTCCCAGCCAATGAGAACAGCCTTGATTACCTTGTTGGCAGAGGCCCCTGAGATGAACAAGACAAGGTTTTCAGGGCAAGCATGGGTGAACCTCAAGCTGGAGAGGCTCAACACCATGCTGTATCATGTCAGGAAGCTGGGCAGGGAGAGCTTGACAGCAGCTGCAGCCAAGCTGACCAGGCAGGAGTTCAAAGCCTTGCAGAGCTCCCTGCAGCTGCTGTCAATCCCTGCCCCTGCTTTGGAAAAGGCACCTGCTCCAGAAATGGCTTTGGAAAAGGCAACTGCTTTGGAAAAGGCTGCAGGAAACAACAGAAAAAGTGAAGCCTTGAATAAGAAACTGAAACAGAATGACAGTGA